TACAATAAATTTTACTGTATTTTACTACTGTCAAATTTATTGTAGTGCACAGTAAAATTGTCCTAAATACTATATTGTCCCACAATTAACATGATTTGCAGGGTAAATTTAAAAAAAAATTCTCTCCGTGTATGTATATTTTTGACAGAATTCCCCGAAAAATTTCTGACACATCTGATATAATTATATTATACATATTATTATATGCTTAAATTATCATTTTGTTTAATTAGTATTTCTTTACTAAACAAAAGAATAAAAAAATATCATAACAAATGTGGAAAAGCGGTTTACCAACAAACTAATATATGTATAATATTATATGTAATAACGCGATAAATCTGAATTTTCCTGTAAATCAAATTATTAGAATGAGAGGATAGAGAAAAAAATAATGGGCCAATTAAATTCCTATTAGTGCCTTCCAAAATTAACGTGTAAATACGAGTTTCGAAAGATCGGGAAGAGGAAGTTGACGAGAAGACAAGCCGGCAAATGATGCGTTAGACAAAGTGTCGGACAATACGGCGATGTGAAGATGGACGGAACGACGTATGGAACAACGACACAGCGAAAAGATGGTTGTAGGAACGACGAACCGCTCCTCACGTTACGCCCTCCTAAAAATAAGTGGACTCCGAGCCTAGATACCTAGATAGTAGTCTACGAATAGTCGCCGCCGCGACGAAACTCGTGGCGATTAGTCATGTAAAGTAGGATTGTCGAGCGCGAGAAACACGTCTACACTGTGAACTCATTGGAAACAGGGCTCGGATTTTTTTCTAATCCTTTTTGCCTAATTTCTCTTAATAATCACATAATTAGACAAAGTAAAAAAACAGTGACAATGTCCAGAACACAACAAGGAAATTATTGCAGCTTTGAAGATCCGAAAGAAACGTAAAAGAAAATGATAAAAATTAACGCTCTGATAATCATGTAAACAGCCGAAGATTAGAATCTGTTTAGAAGAATCACTGAAAATCGCTCTACTCCAAAATGAAACCAAAAATGCCATCGCGATAGACAAGTGCTTGCTTGAAAATTAATGATATAAATGGGGTAAAATAAAATTTATCTTTATTTAAATTTATTTAAATTAAAATGTCTAAAACCGTAATCACACTAGCGATTGAGATTGAAGTTGAAATTTGACCAATCAAACCAAAATTTACTAAACTTGATATTAGTTTTTTTTTCTTCTGATTGAAATTTTCATCAAATCCAATCTCAATTGTTAGTGTGATTACGATTTAAGACAAGAAAATTCTTAATAAAAATAAGTGTCAAAAGTGAATTTTTCTATCTTTATAAAATATTCAAAATCTAAGCGAGAATGAAAGTTGCCAGATGTCACAGCGTTAATGCTTGCAATGCGCTGTTACAATCACGGATCGTTATGCGTCGTCTTGCTTTTCATCGTCCTTTTTTAATTCTCGATCACTTAATTTCTAATATTTATCCGACATATGTATTCCTGGTGTGAATACATTTGATTAAATAATCAAAATAAAAGGGGGATAACGACTCATCTACGGGGATAACTGGATTTTTCATGACAGCGTAACATACCTCCTCAATCCACTTGTCCCTTCATCTACCCCTGGCAAATCACTCACGTGGGTGAGCATGCGCGAAATCGATCCGTCACTTGTTGCTAACACTTCGGCACTGATCCACACGCGACCCTCGACGCGATGTTAACAGACAATCGGGGGATGAAAGGGGGAAGAAAGGGAATTCGAAAGGAGCTCGGTCACTCGGGCAAAGTGTGAAGAGAAGTCGCACTGACACGCGTGAATCCGGCAATCGTCGCACGCTCCCTCGCAGCCACACTACGTGCGCATCCGCATCCAAGGTATCATCGAGAGACTTACTTGAAGCGTCTCCGGGAGAGGATGAGCGTTTTTCCTTCCGAAGAGTGCGAGTCCCGGCACCTGGCCGAGCGTTTCCTCGGACACCCGCGACGACGGCAAGCAGTCGCTTACTCCTGGATCACTCCCAACCCCCCCCGAGGCAAATAACGAGACACACACTTGGGCTTGGGAGACTCGGCTCGAGAATTCGACAAGGTCGCGCGAGAGAACAAAACGGGGAAAATTAAGAGAAACTCTTTCTTTTTCTTGTTTTTCAGATTCGATCGTCTTCGTCTTCGTCTTGGGTCGTCGTCGTCACTCGTCGTGTGGTCGCTCGTCGCTGTCTCGCTTCTTGTCTCTCTCGTATTCTACTCTCTCTCTTTTTACTTGCACGGAGTGTCTCTATCGGTCGTCCCAATCGTCGGGGCCCCGCGCGCCAACTAAACGCGCGAGGTGTCGAGAAGCTACCTCGAGGTTGGAGTTTTGCCCACCAGCACGACCACCACTACCGTCGCCACCACCACATCTTACTCCAAATCCTCTGTCTTACATTTCCGTCGAGCCGTACGCACGCCCACGCTCTCGCGGGCGCCGCCACGACGCTATGATATACCGAAGTAAACGAAGTCACGTCCGATAAGTGATAACGGCACAACCAGGTCAGACACGCGTTCTCCGCGCGGCGCTACGACAGACAGCTGTTACTCTAACTGAAAATCCTGCCGTAATAATATTGTGACATCTGGCTCATTTTCAATCATGATTTCAAGAGATTGGACGACAATACTTAAACATCAAAGCTAAAGATTACATTTTGGAACTCTTCACCTTTACATACAGATAGGTACATCATGCTAAAGTTAGTACATCACAAATATATCCATAAATATTATATATATACATATAGCTTTGTAAATACTAAATATTTCTACAAACTAATAAGCAGTACTTTTTACTACGTTTTTTAAGTATTTAATTGCTACATGAGCATTTAATAATGAAAGATATACTAAACAGAATACCTTAATATAATTACGGAGAATATTTTTTATGTCATTTAAATCATCTAATATTTATTCTTTTATATGCAAGATCTTTATGGTAACGCAAGATGCAATTCATGGCAACAATATTGTGCAGCAAAAAGTACTATTGGCGAATTATCCAAGGTCGGGACATCGCGATCCCTAAGTAAGTGTCGACAGACATGTGCAGCCGGTGCAGAGGACGAGAAAAAGCATTTATTACACGCTATACTTCTTTCGTAATCAGACGCGCGCGTGCCCCACCGAGATTCATCTTATTGTTAGTTCTTATATCTGGCGTATCGCTGTTACACAATAACGTTTGCTTTTACACGATGAAATCAGAAAATTAACGCAGACAACAATGAATTATACAAGAATTCGAATTGATATGAATTCGTGCGAGTGAACTTTTCTTAAGCAAATACTTGCTTAAACTGCATATGATGTCACTGTAACTAATATATTAATGTCAAAGGCTACTATAATTATAATAAAAAATTTAGATATCTAACAAATTGAGTTCTTTTATTATTTTTCTATTCCAGCACTTAGCATCCTACTGTTCTATACTTTCACATTAAAATTGTAATAATTTTGTATTCACGAATGATAACACAGGGGTTGCTCAAAAATTCCAAGTTATTCATATCCCTTTTTTACTCGAATCTATTTTTAATATTGTATTTATATATGGCCGAATATACCCGGCGTTTATGCTTAGCGCATTGACGCGACTTCGTCATTTGCGCGTTCTATTTCTTGTCACTGGCGAGTTTGTCATATAAACGTGGCCGTCGGCAACGAATCTAAAAATGAACCCGCGCTATCGACAGTGGAACTAAATGACTGGCGAAAAGTCACCGGAATGGAATCTCTCACGTTGGCGTCCCCGTGATGAAATTAGATAGCACCGCGATACTCGCGCGTAACGCGAGGTACGTTTTCTCTCATTCTCTGAACGGAAAGACAGAAAAAAAGAATAAAAATGAGTCGCATCCATCGATCGGATTACATATTTTTGAGCTTGTTAGGAGAGACACGCGAAATCGACGATGAGAAATAAACGAAACTTCGTCCATAATGTTACGAAACCGAAGGATTTTAAGTGCTTTCAGCCTGTCAATGTCATTATGTTTAGTCGTGCAAATCACATACGTCATATATATATGACAAATGTTTTACATAATTTCAATGACAAGTTTATTGAGTCTGGAGTAAATTTTTTGTCAAGAAAAAATTTTTAAATATTATCTTTAAGAAATATTATCAAAATTGCCAATTAAATTAAAATTGTAAGATTTCTTGTATGTATAGGGTACAGCGGGGTAATTTGAATAGTAGGGTAATTCGGATAACAGTAAGCATTTGCAAGAATTTCAGAAAAATAAGAGATTTTAAGATACATTTCATTAGATCAATGTCTGATCTAATGATGTATCTTAAAATATCTTATTTTTCAATGTCTGATCTAATAAAATGTATCTTAAAGTCTTTTATTTTTCTGAAATTTTTTCAAATGCTTAATGTTATCCAAATTACCCCATTATTCAAATTACCCTGCTGTACCCTATGCGTGATAATTGTATAATATTATGTACAACCAATATCAGTTTTTTTTCGGATTAATGCTAAAAATTAATGTAAGACTGTAATTATATATCTTGCAAATAGCTACTTATAACTAAATGAGAGATCGCCAGTTTACTTTGGACGTTTAACTAGATGTAGTCATCACTCGGCACATAATGTTGAACAGAAATAACAAGAAAATAAACAGTGTACAAGGAAGTATTCAAAAATTTACAGTAGCAAATATCGCAAACGTGGCAATTTAAAGAAAATAGAATGTTCGAATTGTGCACTTGCATATATTTGATTACAGTTTAAATTATGCAGTATCGACTAGTTACGTTGAGATTTGCAAAAATCGACAAAGAGATACACGTTCATTTACTTTTTACCTTCGCAAAACGATCCTTTCGTACAAGACATGTTTTAATTGCTGTAATAATTTTAGAAATATCTTCTGCTAATATAAGCGGATGTTATAGCCATAATTCAACGTTAAGTGGCCGTGCGAGATAACTTTGTATGTCCTGACAAACATATTTCCTCAAGCCATCCGTGAAACGTTACAAAGAGGGTCTTGAGCAAAGTCGTTACGAGTTACTTATCCTTTTCTCCTACGATCGTAACCTATCATAGACTGAAAACAGAGCCGTGTGTCACCACGCCGCGTCGGCTTCCTTAAATTTAATTTAACATCTCAAAAAAAACAACGTCACAAAAATTCATCACGCCTTGTGGATACTTTAGGGGAATAAAATAATTATTATTAATAATTGTAATTTTTTGTTACTAAATACTTTCCAAAATATTTCATAAAGTTAGAAAAATCCCGGTATTTTCAATGGAACCAATTTATATATAAACATTATATTTTATCAATAATTGGATAATTGTCGTTGCTTTCGTGATTTATAATATATTATTTTATCCCCCTAAAATATCCAGAAGGCGTAATGAATTTTCGTGACATTGTTTTTTTGGTGAGATGTCAGTAAATTAAATTTAACGAAGCCGACGTGGCGTGGTGACACATGGCTCTGTTTTCAGTCTATGATAGGTTACGATCGCAGGAGAAAAGGAAAAGTAACTACTTTGCTCAAGACCCTCTTTGTAATTAAAAATAAAATTTTTTAAAATTAGACACCGCAAACATTGTAAAATTATTCAATATGCCAGCAATTATATATATTTAATAATTTAAATATTTTTTGCCTTTTTGATAATATAGAAAAAATAGAAAAGATTTTAATTGTAATTTTAGGTTTTATTATAAATCCATATGTTGCTCGTTATAATTTCTCAATAAATTTAATATATGTATAATTGCTGTTGTTATATTTTTATTTTGACACTCAGCACACTGCACAATGCATACTTTCGCCCTCAATTGTCTGCATTAATTTACTAGAGAGAATCACGCGGTTGTATGTTATAAATAGCAACACAATGTGTACGCTTTGCGCTCATCCGGGAAATGTTACAGCGATGCTCTCGTTAAGTTGAGAGAAGGAGCATCGAAGAAGATGAAATGAAGAACAGAAAGAATAAGAAAAGAAAAATCAAGAAGGAAGAAATCTCACGCGAAGCATCGAGACGCAAGTCTCTCTCAAGTTCTGGCAAACCGGGCACTTTTCTAAATATACACGATCGCCCCTCACCGGTAAATCTATCTTTACGTATTAGAATCTATACCTAACGACTCCAAATATCTTTTCTGTAGTCAAGTTACCGCATAACTTTATCTAAAAATTAGAGAAATAGTTTTTCAATAAGATATAAGGCAAAAAAATCGCTATGCAATGCAATTAGGTTCAAATTTATAATAATTATTTTTTACACCATTAAATCTGCATTTGACAATTTGTTTGAAAATTTAATTCCAAGGAGAGAATGATCTCTTCGAATATATTTCGTCTCATAGAACGGCGAAGTATTAATACTATTTTCGACGCTACCACGAACTGATATATGATTGAAAATACAGAGCCCGCTAAAGAGAAATAAGCAAATCGCAAGGCCCGATGGCGTAAATCACACTTTCACAGAAGCAAGATCTGTATTTATAGTTGTTTCTTAAATTTATATTTCAGAAATATTTGATAAGATATTTAAAATAAAATATCATATCTTTAAAGTAATGTAAAATAATACTGTTGATGAATTTATATGATTAAACTATATAAAACAAGTTTTCCTTCTAATAAATCTAAAGCATTATAAAATAAGCTAAATTAACAAAATAATAATCGTGTATTTATTATTAAATTAATACTTATTTGGTAATGGGTGGTGGTGGTGGGTGGTGGTGGTGGGTGGTGGTGGTGTGTGGTGGTGAGTGGTGGTGGTGGGTGGTGGTGATGGGTGATGGTGGAGTAAAAAAAAATTTTTATTTTAAAAATCCCATGATATAAAAATTTTTTAAGAAAAAAATTTAAAAATGGCCGATTAAAACGTCATTTTATTGAAAATTGTTAAAATTTGTTTAATTAAAATGTAAATTGGTATAAATGTTATTGAAAGATGTATGGGATTCAATTCGCAGCGCGCGCTAATCGCGCGTCTGTTATGTACTATAGTTGAACAATAAAAAGTTTGTGCATTTAAAAAATTTAAATTGCTTTTAAAGCAATGTCTGCGAGATTTCGACGTAAAATTCTTTTTTAAGAAATAAAAATTACCTACCATTTAAATAAAAGCCAAAAATCTATAACAATTTTATGAATTAGTAAATTAAAGTGAATTAAATTATTATCCCGCACTAATACGTGGCCGTTTAAATGATTACGCGAAAAATTTGACAATTTCATTAATTTTTGAATACTCGAACTCGAG